AGTTGGTTTGGATCGAACTGCTGGCAGTGGGCAGAGTTAACCTGCAATACTGCATTCTAACTACTAGGAGGGAGGGAAGGAAGGGAGAGAGGCAGGGAGGGAGGGAGGGAGGGAAGAAGGAAGGAAGGAAGGAAGGAAGGAAGGAAGGAAGGAAGGAAGGAAGGAAGGAAGGAAGGAAGGAAGGAATAGCACTTAGACTTATATACCGCTTCCCAGTCCTTTCCAGTCCTCTCTAAGCAGTTTACAGAGTCAGCCTCTTGCCCCCAACAATCTGGGTCCTCGTTTTAGCGACCTCAGAACGAGGGAAGGCTTCAACCATGAGTTGGTCCGGATCGAACTGCTGGCAGTGGGCAGAGTTAACCTGCAATACTGCATTCTAAGCACTGCGCGACATGGCTAGGCGTCACTGAGAGAGGGAGAACAGCTGGCCCAGAGACTGAAGGTGGGCTTGATCCGCTTCCTAGGCCGAAGCCTTCGTCGCGAAGTCCTTCGGCCTTGCTTCTGCTTTGCAAACAGGGCCATCAATGTAAAATCAGCTTCGGTGTCAGCCATGAGGAAGGTCCTAGGAAAGTAACCATGGAAACTATCTGTCACATTCATGGGGATTAGGTTCACCTTGCAGGTATGAAGGGCATGGACAGAGCAGGCAGCTGGAAAGATCAAGGCCAGCTCTTCCGTCTCAACGGAATTTTTAATTTTTAATATTTTTTAGTATTTCATATATTCAAATGTTAAAATTGGTTTTAAATTGATTGGGGTTGTAATTAGTCTCGGCCAAAACTATTTAATTTGATTTTAATTCTGCTTTTAAATTTTGTATGTCTGGATTTTATTGTTGGCTGTTCACCGCCCCGAGTCCTTCGGGAGTAGGGCGGTATAGAAATCAAATCAAATCAATAAATAAATAAATCAACCCTGGTGATTATCAACCCACGACTGGCACCATCATTATGGGAAATGACTACAGTTAGTCCTTGATTTACAAGCATTCATTTAGTGGGACTTGAACTCACTGTCTCCTGGTGATTGGCCCAAAGTCACCCAGCTGCCTTTCGTGCCTAAGACTAGAACTCAGAGTCTCCTAGCATTTGGCTCAAAGCTACCTAGCTGGCTTTTATGTCTAAGGCAGAACTAGAACTCCCCGACTCCTGGTGATTGGCCCAAAGTCACCCAGCTGCCTTTCGTGCTTAAGGGGGGACTAGAACTCAGAGTCTCCTAACATTTGGCTCAAAGCTACCTAGCTGGCTTTTATGTCTAAGGCAGAACTAGAACTCCCCGATTCCTGGTGATTGGTCCAAAGTCACCCAGCCGGCTTTCATGCCTAAGGTGGAACTAGAACTCCCAGTTGTAAGTCGAGGACTCCCTGTATCGAATAAAGTAACATTTCCCGAATTTGCTCAACATGCTAACCTACAAGCAGTCCTCGACTTACAACGGTTCATTTTAGTGACCGTTCAAAGTTACGTCGGCACTGAAAAAAAGTGACTTATGACCGTTTTTTCACACCTATGACCGTTGCAGCATCACTTTATCCAAATTGAGACGCTTGGCAACTGACTCATATTTACGACGTAGCGTCCCGGGGTCACGTGATCCCCCTTTTGCGACCTTCCGACAAGCAAAGTCAAGGGGAAAGCCAGATTCACTTAACAACCTTGTTACTGACTTAACATGATGTTTCGCTTAACAACCATGGCCAGAAAGGTCGTAAAATGGGGGCCAAGCTCCCTTCACCAATGTCTCACTTAACAGTGACTCTGGAAAGAGAGCTGTTAAACTGAGTGAGATATATGAAAGAGCTTTTGAATGCTACACAGTTGTGGACTTTTAAATTTGATAGAAAGTTTTTTTCTTCTTTACCATTCCACTTCTTCCATTTTTAACTATCTTGAATAGAAGTATATCTATGCTTGTAGACCTTTAGTACTTTTAAGTTTTTGAAATAGAATTTTTCTTTTTATTATTCTCCCTTTTATTTTTCTACAACACGTTATTGCTCAATTGGATTAAGGCATATAAGAGCCTGAAGAAATTATCTTTTGGATTTTTTATTTAATATTTTTTTTCCCTCTCTTTTTCTAAATTTTTCTTTTTTCTTTTTTTTTTTTCCTCTATGGATTTTTTTTTTTTTTAATTTGATTTATATGCCGCCCTTCTCCGGAGACTCAGGGCGGCTTACAATGCGTTAAGCAATAGCCTTCATACTTTTGTATATTTATACAAAGTCAGCTTATTGCCCCCACAAACCGGGTCCTCAATTTACCTACCTTAGAAAGGATGGAAGGCTGAGTCAACCTTGAGCCTTGGAGAGATTCGAACCTGCAGTAAATTGCAGGCAGCTGTGTTAATAACAGGGTGTGTAGCCTTGTGCTATCAAGACTCTTTTGGATTGGAGATTGTTGTTTAATTTTGTTTTTGTTTTTTACCTTTTCACTTGATTGGATTAGGGCACACAAGAGCCTGAAAACCAATGTCTCACTTAGCAACGTAAACTTTGGGTTCAGTTGTGGTCGTACATGGAGGACTTCCTGTAGGCTTTACAGGCGACCCAATCAGAACGCAACGAACGCACCAAAATCAAACTGTGATTTTTTAGCCCATCAAAGGTACCAAATTCTTGCACAACGAGATCATTTTTCATAATTTTCTTTATTTTTAAAACGATAACTTTTTTTCCCCTCTTTGTTGTAATTATAAACCGAGTGGGAGAGGGTGATGTAGTACCTGGAGCCAATCGTATTAAAAAAGAAATCGGCAAAGGCAGCTCAATTTTTTTCCCTTGGAAATCCTGAATATCAAAACGATTTTTCTGGAGTGACGATTTTTCTGGAGTGTCGGCCGCTTTTCTCTCTGCCCGTGTAGGGGTCACCTTTCGTTTTCGCCACGTCTGCACCCGTTCCATTTTTAAACTTCCTGCTGACACATTTCCCACTACGGTGACCACATGCTGGTTAGCATTAATGTTTCATGAGTTCGGTACCCGAGAGGTAATTTTATCCGGAGAGTGTTTTCCAAAATCAGGAGACTGAGCAAAGAGGAAGGGCAAAGCAACTGGGGGGGGGGAAATGGTTTGAAAACCAGGATGGGGTTTCCCCACCCCCACCCCATGCCCCCCAAAATGTAGTCAAGTCGTGGAAATGAGGGGTGGGGAGACGAGGGGTTTGCTGGTGTGTGTGTGCTTATGAGTTGATGTGTGAGGTTGTGTTACAAGGTGCTCGGACAAAATGTGGCGGGAGCTGTAGACACCCGGTGTCCCTTGAAGGGGTTGGGGGGGGCGGTTGGGGAGGGGCAGCGGCCGATATAACAAGGTGACATAGAGGTTGCTATTGCTAAAGATTGCAGCAAAAGAGAAGGAGGGGAGGGAAGGAGGGGGGAAGGGGGGAGAGTGAGAGAAAGTGAGAGAGAGGAAGAGAGAGGAGGAAAGAAGGAGAAAGAGGGAGGGGGAGAGAGATGGAGAAAGAGAGATAGAGAGGGAAGGGAGGGAAGGGAGAGGGGGAGAAAGGGGGAGGGAGATAGAGGGAGAGAGGGAGAGGGAGGGAGGGAGAAAGAGGAAAAGAAAGGGAGGAGAGAGAGAAAGAGATAGAGAGGGAGGGTGGGAGAGAGGGGAGGAGGAAGAGAGGAGGAGAGAGAGGGAGAGGAGAGGAGAGGGAGGGGAGGGGGAGAAGAGGAGGAAGAGAGGTGGGAGAGAGGGAGAGAAGGAAAAAGTGAGGGGGAAGGGAGAGGGAGAAAGAGATAGAGAGGGAGGGAGAGGGGAGAGAGGGGGAGAAGAGGAGGGAGAGAGGGGGAGAGAGGGAGGGAAGGAAAAAGAGTGAGGGGGAGGAGAGGGGAGAGAGGAGGAGAAGTGAGGGGGGGGAGAGGGAGAGAGGGGGAGAGAGGGAGGGAAGGAAAAAGAGTGAGGGGGAGGGGAGAGGGAGAAAGAAGGAGGGGGAGGGGGAGGGAGAGAGAGGGAGAGAGGGGGAGAAAGGGAGAGAAGGAGAAAGAGTGAGGGGGAGAGGAGAGGAGAGGAGAGGGAGAAAGAGAAGGAGGGCAAGAGGGAGGGAAATTGAGGGAGAGGGAGAAGAGGAGGGAGAGAGGAGAGGAGAAAGAGGGAGAAAGAGAAAGAGAGAGGGAGGGGGAAAGAGGGAACGAGAGAGAGAGGGGGGGGAGGGAGAGAGCCACCTAGCTCCGAAAACAAAACCAACCTTTAACTGCGCTTGGTGGCAGGCCATTCAAAATCAGAGCCGGCCGAGGGTTTCTGGGCTTCTAGTTCTTCGGTGTAGGCATTTTGGTCGTAGAACAGCTGAACAGTTTAAAATGTGTGTTTGTGAGTCCCGTTTATAACATCGCACATTTTATTGGGGGACTCCAAAGGTTCCTCTGAGTCTCGCGGCTTCTAGGAGAAGTCCCAATTCCCCCGGGAGGTTAAAAAATAAATATTTTTGGTTCCCCAACGGTGTTGCCAGGACAGGCCATATTTTCTTTTAAAAAATGTGGGTGTTAGCAAGAGAGGCATCCCCACTCCTGGACTGAAACCGTTCCTGGCACACGTTCTGTTTTGGGAGAGGAAAAAAATCCCCCGTTTCTGAACTACAAAACATTCTTGTATTAAGGGAAGCTGCCGTGAATCGTTTTCCTTCCAATTATTTCTTCCAAAGGACTTTCCCGATGGAAGAGAATGTTTGTAGCTCAGGGTTGAAATGAGGGTCCCTGGTGCTCTCTCAGCTGGGCTCTTTGCTCGCAAACGTTTCATGACCTGACTATGTAGCATCATCAGTGCTAGAAGAGGCGGGAGATTGCAGGGAGGAGAAGGAGAAGGAGAAGGAGAAGGAGAAGGAGAAGGAGAAGGAGAAGGAGAAGGAGAAGAAGGAGAAGGAGAAGGAGAAGGAGGAGAAGAAGAAGGAGAACAGGAGGAGAAGGAGGAGGAAGGAGGAGGAGAAGGAGAAGGAGAACAGGAGGAGGAGGAGGAGGAGGAGGAGGAGGAGGAGGAGGAGGAGGAGGAGGAGGAGGAGGAGGAGGAGATTATTAAGATCCTTGGTGCTTTTTGAGCTCAATTGTCTTCTTCCAGAGGTTTCATGTGGAGGTAAACCCCAATTCCTTCTAGCACAGATGATGTTCCCTAGTTGGATCACGAAACATCTGCAAGAAAATAACCAAGCTCAGAAAGCACCAAGAATCTGACAGTTCTCCTCCTCCTCCTCCTCCTCCTCTTCCACTCTGCAAATCCCACTCTCTTCTAGCACTGATGATGTTCCCATGTTGGGTCAGGAAACGTCTGCAAGAAAACCACCAAGCTCAGACAGCATCAAAGATCCCACACTCCTCCTCCTCCTCTCTGCAAACCCAACTCCCTTCTAGCACTGATGACGTTCCCTAGTTGGGTCACGAAACGTCTGCAAGAAAACCACCATCAGAGAACCCCAAGGACCCCCACATGGAGGACTATATCCAATCCCAAATATCTGGAGAGTTATCAGCAGCTCTGCGTGACGTGGGTCATTTCAGTCATCTGAATGACCTCGTTCTCCACCAAAGTTTGTCCTCCTTCTCCGTTGAGCTGCCTCATCCTCAGGTTGATTGACCCGTAAGTCTTTCGGGGGCCTCTGGAGACCGGGAAAGTCCTCCTCCTATAGAGCTCCCCTTTATACATGGAGACCATCAAGAGCACGGAGAGGAGCATCCCACCCAAAGTCAACATGACCAAGCCGGCGATGATGCACTTGTCCAAATGGGAGCTGAGACGGGCATAGTACATCTCCAGCCTCTCCATCTCCCGGGCGGACACCGTGTCCGGGTTCACCCGAGCTTCGCGTGGGATGCTGTAAGCCACGATCACCAGCAAAATCCCACCAACCAGGAACACCAAGGCCAAAATGAAGCCATAGTCCACGGAGTTCCCAGTTGGGTCTGACAACGTCGCATCCTCTGATCTTGGAGAAAGGTCCTCGGTGGGAGGTGCTGGGTGTTCCTTGGAGCTCCCTGGTCCTCTCTGGAAGGAAGTCTCCTCCTCTTCCTCTTCCTCTTCCTCCCTCTGGTAAGAGGCATTCTCAACTCCTATCCGGGGAGCTCTCCTTGGTGCTGAAGTCTTTCCTTGTCTTCCGCTCTGGCTGGACCCGAGGTGACTCTCTAAGACTGTCAATTCCAGGGGTCTCGTGGAAGCCATTGAGATGGTGTCTCCTTGGTCATCCCCCTTAGTGCCTCACCTGCTGGTACATTAAAAACACAAGCATCAAATGGATGGGGACACGCAACTTTGTGTGGACAAAATCTGTGTTAACTTCTTCCCACAAGACAACGCTGTTCTAACCTAGGCTTCCTGAGAGAGTCAAAAGCAGACGATTAGTCCCCAAAACCCTCTTTTTTATTTCAACGGCTGTGAATTATTGTTTATTCACAGCCCGTAATGAGTCACAAAGAGTTGATAAAGAGTCGGACAGAAGCCTGCCACGGTCCTTCGGGATAAGGCTGATAAGCACCCACTTTTATCTCCCTTGACACGCTGCCAAAGACCTCATTGGCAGTTAGCTTTGCAAGGCCCCATGGAGCACAGAGTCAAAACGGAGCTTCGGAATTTAAACCAAACGAACAAAGTTGCTTCCTGCAAAGGCTCACGTGCCTTTGCTCTTCCTTTATGTCTTATGGGAGGGGCCAACATCTCCAAGCCTTACTCCCGAGTCGTCCCTTTTGTTTTAACTCTTCTTGCCTTCTGGCAGCTCTGCGCATGTGCTCACTGGGAACAGGCTCCCCCTGTTCCTCTACCTCACTGATGCCCGACTTTGGAGGCTCCGGAGGCAGCACATAACTCCCAGATGGCCCTGGCCCCCTCTCTGCCTCCGACACAGAGCCCTCGACTGAGCCTTCCCCAGACTCCAGGACTGGCCCATGTTCCTCCCCAACCTCCTCACTGTCCAACTCTGCAGGCTGCCGGCAGACCACAACAAACGCTATAGGACAGGTGTCAAACTCAAGGCCTGCGGTCCGGATTTGGCCTGCAGGGTGCTTAGATCTAGCCCGGGGGAGATGCCCTGGAAACAGCGAAAGGCTGGCCCGCAGTGTTTCTGCCAGTGAAAACGGAGCTTGGGAGGGGCGCGTGTGGTCCTCCTGGGCTTCGCTTTCACTGGCAGAGGACTGGAGGAGGCCATAGCAGCCAAATATGGAGCCTGCTGACATTGCCTGGCTGATGGCACCCTGAGGAGTCCCTCTCTGTGGGAGCGAACTGCCCTCTGGAATGATCTGCCCCCGGAGATACGAAGGATATCAGATCTCCGGGTCTTTCACCGTGCCCTAAAAACTTTTCTTTTCCATCAAGCAGGGCTGGCATGAACACCCCCCCCCATTTTTTTTTAGTTTTTTTGTTTTTTAGCTTTTAATTTGTCAATGGGTTTTAATTCGAATTGTTTTAAATTTGGGCCAAAGTATGTAATTCTTTTAAAAATTTTAAATTTTGTATTGGCATGTGTTTTAGTTTTGGCTGTGCACCGCCCTGAGTCCATTAGAAGAAGGGCAGGATACAAATTGAACTAACTAACTAACTAACTAACTAACTAACTAACTAACTAACTAAATAAATAAATAAATAAATAAATAAATAAATAAATAAATAAATAAATATTCCTTGCAGACGGCAATGGAAGGATCTATATTCCTTGCAGACAGCTGGTCATTTGTGTTCTTTTTAGCGAGTCATTGAGGCCATTTGGAGGTTTATCTGGTCGTTAGGACTCTTTGAAGACAGCAAGGTCCACTGATCTGTCCCCGTCTCCACACACACACAAACACAGCCAGCCGAGGGTTAAGAAAGCACTTGGCACGCACACAGGTCGTTATCTCAAACTTGGCAACAATATAAGCACCGTCTGCCAAGAGTTTTACTGCAACAGATAACATAAAATTACATATGAATTGCAAATAATCCAGCAAAACAATATCCCTTCGGCAGCTTCAGACGTTGTTCAAGTGACTAGCCAAAGTTCGTTTTTGTTCGTCACAGAGTTTTACCAGCCACCACCCTCTCTTATATAGTCTCTGGGGTGTGGTCCAGTGACTCAGTTCTAATCCCTAGCACGCCTCCTTAACTGCTGCAACCGTTTATCACGCCTTCATTGGCGTGCATCCAGGAACGACGGCTCTCCTTCCTCGCCCTCATCAGAGACACCTGGCTCCTGGCCAATCTCCCCTTCCTCGGCCGGCACCTGAGGCAGTGCCAGAGGGGAGGGGCCTGGAGAGGGAGGCCTGGCTGACTCCTCTCCCTCATGATCGGAGCTTTCTTCCTCCGATGAGATAGGCTCAGAGGGCGGGGCCACAACAGTCCACATTCTGGAAAGAGAGGACCACTGGTTTGAAAGAGGGGCCAAAGAGGCCATGAATGTCCAAATTGAACAGCCCTCTCTCAACAGAGGGAGAGGGATACAACATCATCTATCTCCAGTCTGGCTATTTACGGGACCGCCTACTACCACCAATAGCCTCCCACCGGCCGGTACGCTCTCATAGAGAGGGGCTCCTCCGGGTGCCGTCGGCCAAACAGTGTCGACTGGCGGCCCCCAGGGGGAGGGCCTTCTCTGTGGGGGCACCCACTGTCTGGAACGAGCTCCTCCCGGAGATACGGAGGATCCCGGATCTGCGCACTTTCCGCCGCGCTCTTAAGATCTTCCTATTCCAGCAAGCTGGCCTGGCCTAACCTTTTTTCCCCTTTTCTTTTAAATTGAAAAATTTTAAATCTGTTTTTAAATTATTGGGATGTTTTAAATTTGTCTCGGGCTAAGTTGTTTAATCTGGTTTTATTTCTGCTTTTAAATTTTGTATTTATGTATTTTATTTTGTGCCTGTTCACCGCCCTGAGTCCTTCGGGGGTAGGGCGGTATATAAATCTAATAAAACAAACAAACAAACAAACAAACAGTCTACAACACAGTCCTATTAGCAGTTCCAAAAAGGCTCCACACCTGTTTGCACCACTCAGGTGACCCTGAGGACACAGATGAACCTCCAGGTGGCCTCAACGACTCCTTAAAAGGATGCAAATGACCAGCTGTCTGCAAGGAGTATCAATCCTTCTGTTCCCCACCATCCAGTCAGAGCTGAAGAAGCTCCTTGGATGAGAAGCAAAACATCTTCAAAGACAAACCAGAAAGTCCAGTTGCCCCTTGAAAAAAGCACTTTGGGGACAATTTTTTTGTATGTTATGATTTATGTTGATTGCTTTATTTGGTATCCTATGATTATCACTGAGTGTGGTATCTTAGGGTTTAGGATTGTATTTTATGATTATGATCGTGATTTATCAATTGTTCCTTGCATGTACACCAAGAGCTTATGCACCCATGACAAATTCCTTGTGTGTCCAATCAAACTTGGCCAATAAAGAATTCTATCCTATTACATGTTAGTCCCATCCTGCCAGCTGTCTCAAGTCTGGCTAGATATGGAGACAAGAAATAAAAACAACTTTGACTGGACGAGGAAGGTAAGCAGGATCAAAGCTCATTAATTACATAGACAAGAATTTTAGGGCTGTACGCTAGTGTGAAAAGTTTAAAAATCCAGGAAGAAGCCATGTTAATATCAAGAAAACTACATGGATATGTCCAAGTCATCAGAAGTTGAGTTAGACTCAACCGGGACCTTACTTCCAGTTGAAATCTAGCATTATCTGACCAGTCATAGTTAAATCTGTCTGTCTGTCTGTCAATCTATTGTATCTTGGAAAGGCTAAACAGGGTTGGCCTGTTTTGATAGGAATTAAGGAGGAGGTATAGGCTGAAAGTTGGAGAAATATCCCCAAAGAAGATAGAGTCCAACTCCTTCCATTCTGAGGAAGCACTATGAAGTTCTTAGCAATAGCAATAGCCCTTAAACTTATATACCGCTTCACAGTGCTTTGCAGCCCTCTCTAAGCAGTTTACAGAGTCAGCCTCTTGCCCACTACAATCTGAGTCCTCATTATATCATCCTCGGAAGGATGGAAGGCTGAGTCAACCTGGAGCCTAGAAGAATCGAACCCCTGGCAGTGAACATTGAGTTAGCCTGCAATACTGCATTCTAATAGAGATAGATAGATAGATAGATAGATAGATAGATAGATAGATAGATAGATGATGGATGATGGATGATGGATGATAGATAGATAATGATAGATACGATAGATACGATATAGATAGATAGATAGATAGATAGATAGATAGATAGATAGATAGATAGATAGTAGATAGATAGATGATAGATTAGATGGATAGATAGATAGATAGATGATAGATGATAGATGATAGATACGATAGATAGATAGATAGATAGATAGATAGATAGATAGATAGATAGATGATAGATGATAGATAGATATGATAGATATGATATAGAGGATAGATAGATAGATAGATAGATAGATAGATAGATAGATAGATAGATAGAAAGAAAGATAGATAGATAGATGATAGATAGATGATAGATATAGATGATAGATACGATAGATAGATAGATAGATAGATAGATAGATAGATAGATAGATAGATATAGATGATAGATAGATACGATAGATACGATATAGAGATAGATAGATGATAGATAGATAGAAAGATAGATAGATGATAGATAGATAGATGATAGATAGATAGATAGATAGATACAATAGATAGATTAGATAGATAGTAGATAGATAGATAATAGATAGATGATAGATTAGATGGATAGATAGATAGATGATAGATACGATAGATAGATAGATGATAGATAGATAGATAGATAGATAGATAGATAGATAGATAGATAGATATAGATGATAGATAGATATGATAGATACGATATAGAGATAGATAGATAGATAGAAAGATAGATAGATAGATGATAGATAGATAGATAGATAGATAGATAGATAGATAGATAGATAGATAGATATAGATGATAGATAGATATGATAGATACGATATAGAGATAGATAGAAAGATAGATAGATAGATGATAGAAAGATAGATAGATAGATGATAGATAGATAGATAGATAGATAGATAGATAGATAGATAGATAGATAGATAGCAACAGCACTTAGACTTACATACCACTTCACAGTGATTTACAGCCCCCTCTACGCCGTTTTCAGAGTCAGCCCCCAACAATCTGGGTCCTCATTTTACCAACCTCAGAAGGACGGAAGGCTGAGTCAACCTTGAGCCTGGTGAGATTTGAACTGCCAAATTGCAGGACGCCGGCAGGC